CATGTATTTATGAGTTCTTAATCTGCATTATCTTTAATCAAGGAAAAATTCTAACGAAATTCATCATATATTAGATTATCAAATATTTCTAAATTCAATCATAAATTTTGATTCATAAATTTTCATGCGAATTGCTAGAAAAAAAAATTTAACGTTTCACCACACGATTATAAATGAAGACATCATCATATATGAAAACTCTTTGCATTGATATTGGATATTTTTTTAAATCAAATATTTCTATTAGCAGTTAGGTTTTCCTACCCGGAAAACCTAACTGTCAAAGCCTAACCTAACCTAACCTGCCTAAATTAAGTTTGATTAATTAAAAACCAAAGAATGTACATTTGCTCTATCCTTTGTTTATGTATGTAGTTATCATTGAGTTGTGCAAGTTTTTGATTCCTAATCTAATATTCCCAATTGAAATTAATCGAAATGATAAAAATCTACTTTTATTTTAAATAAACAAATGTTTTTACTGAAAAATCCATAACTGAATGTTTCATTTGCACTAACATTTCGAAGTGTTCGAAACAACACTTCGAAATGTTCATTTGCCTGTGTTGCACATAATACCATATTTATATAACTGTATATCAAAATATATAAGTTTATACATTTTTACAAAAATGCGCCCGGCTAACGGAAAAGTACCATTTTTTCTTTTTTCTAAAATGAAAAATCATCGAATAATTTGATGTCAAACAATTATTATTATAATCATCATGGTCATTAGTTTTTTGTAATTTTTCATAGTTTTTTTTCTGTGTGTGTGTGTTTGTCGCATCATTTCACAAAAACTGATGATGCCCATTCACACAACAATTGCAGAATATCTGTTTCATAATAATAATTTTTCCTTTGTTTTGTTATGATTTTCTTACGAAAAACAAAACAAAGATTTAAATGACCTTTTTTTTCTTAAACGTCAGTCAACCAATTAACATAATGATCACGAACATCATTCATTGATTTATCTAAACTATGATGATGATTGCAGCTTGAGTAATTTTGCGAACGAAAACAAAAAACCATATAGCCACCATATGATGATAAACATTGAACGAAAACAAAAGAAAAGAACTGGGCATCATTCTTTGATGACCATTCCCATATGATATGTTTATCCTTGAAGTCAAAACAGGGAAAGAAAAATAGAAAATTTTCAATTAAAAATTAACTTTTTTTTTTGATTAACTTACTCTTGTCAATCTGAAAACTTTACTTTTGATGAAAAACAATTGAGTTTTTGTTCAATTTAAAAAAAATGAAATGAAAATCTTTCCAAAAAAAAACAAAAGTTGCTGCTGTGAGCAGGAATTAAGGTCAAGTATAAATCGTTGTCGGTTTCGAATGTTTTTTTTTTTTGGTGTGGCCTGGGCAGGATATCATCATTCATTCATTCAATGATTATTTATAATTTACATAATCATTGGTCATCATCATCAACACTTGAAAGATATCTCGTGTTGATGATGATCATTGACGATTATCATCATCATCATCATTATTATTAAATAAAGTGTTTTTTTTCGTTTGTTTCGATTGTTTGCAATTAAAACAACACACACACACACACACATTTCCTATTTTTCATTTTCATATTCTGTTTGTTTGTTTGTTTGTTATTTTTGGGCCACAGAATCCTTGAATCTTAATAATAGTAATAATGCTTATTATAAACAATAATTACAATTTTTTTTTGTTGTTGTTCTTGTTCTTGTGTGTAAAACGATAATGATCATTCTTGGNCGATTATCATCATCATCATCATTATTATTAAATAAAGTGTTTTTTTTCGTTTGTTTCGATTGTTTGCAATTAAAACAACACACACACACACACACACATTTCCTATTTTTCATTTTCATATTCTGTTTGTTTGTTTGTTTGTTATTTTTGGGCCACAGAATCCTTGAATCTTAATAATAGTAATAATGCTTATTATAAACAATAATTACAATTTTTTTTTGTTGTTGTTCTTGTTCTTGTGTGTAAAACGATAATGATCATTCTTGGATTTCAGAGTTTCAGAGTTTGTTGTTTATGTTTCTGTTGAATATTTATACCAAAGAAAACAAAAACAAAATGGATAGTTTCCTGAATGTTATTTTTTTTCGTTTGTTTGTTTGTTTGTTCTAAACAAATAAATGGCCATTTTATGGAAATTATTATCATCATCATCATCATTCAAAAATCAAAAAAAAAAATCTTCTTTAATCGAGAAAAATTGTTCATTTTTCGCCCATTTTTTTTTTCTCTTTCGCTTTTTTTTTTCGCTCACATGATTTTCGACAAAGTAATTTAAATTTAAAAAAATCAGATTTAAACGCCATCTATCGTTTGGAAAAGATGATATTTTTTTGTTTGTAATTAATTTATGTTTTAAAAATAAATTCAAATTCAATCAAATTATAATTTTGCTAAATATATCTGTGTTTTAATTGTTTCTAAATGGTCGTTGAATGATAATTTTATAATTCGCGATTACATAATGTGAATTGCCACATCTTTCATTAATCAAATTCAAAAAAAAAAAATACAAAAACAAAAAGCAAAAACAAAAAACGTGTTTAATATTAATTAAAATGTAATCAAATGGCTCCTGCTTTTTTTCACTTTCTTAACTTTTTTCGCTTCTTCTTCTTTTCCGAATTAAATATGTATCGAAAACATCACATATTTTCACGCCATAAGCCATTAGGAAAATCTTTTCAAATCTTTACAAAAAAAAGAAAGGATTCAATGAATAAATGCTATTTTTAAACATTTTTTTTTCAAAACTTTTTATGAACATTGAAATTTTTATTTATTCAAAGTTTGTTTTATTTTGTTTTTTAAAAAAACAAATCAATAATCATGGAATATATAAAAAATAAAATAAAAAAACATATTGTAATTAAATACAGAGAGTAAAATTAATGAAAAAATGGTTTGTTTTGCTTTGCTTTGTTTTGTGTTTGGTTTTTTGTTTGAATATGATGAGAATTTCATTCGGAATCCATGAATTTCCATTTTTCGGTCCATCCGATTGTCGATCGTTGTTCGTTCGTTTTGTTGTTTGGTCATTTTTAATTTTGATTTTAAGAGATTGCTGCTGCTTTGTTTGCCGTACCCAAATCAACAAATGAATTGAATGTATGTCCATTCGATGATGATAAATGAA